GACAATTACTATGAGGTAGAGAAAAAGAAAGACCTTTTAGCTTTCTCAAAATGTGAGAAATGAGCAAAACAGCCGAAGGGACTAATAGTGCCTTTTAACCTCTAGTCTGGAGAGTTCTGCCAGAAAAGAGATCATCACCCTTCAGTTTGTGGTACGGCTGCTCAGGTAAATCAATTAAAAGTATGCAACACTCTACAGCTTGCCACATTTGTATTAATTAAATTTTTTAAAAAGTTCCCTGCAGCTTACAACACCTTTGCATCTATATTAATCAATTTTTTTTTAAAAAGTTGCTGTCGAGTCCATTACAACTCATGGCAATCCAATGTGAGTCAGAGTAGAACTGTGCTCCACAGGGTTTTCAATGGCTGTAATCTTACAGAAGTAGACTGCAGCACCACTGGACGGATTCGAACCACCAACCTTTCAGTTAATAGCCAAGCTCAAACCAGGGACCTTTATTAATTAACTAATCCCCTCATTATCCCTGTGAAGTAGCATTTCTTAATTTTCCCCATTTTACAGATAGGAAAACTGAGGCTCAAGGGAAGCAAGTGACTTGCCCAAGGTCACACAGATAGCAAGGGGTAGGGAGATGACTTGCATCTGAGATGGTTTGGTTTCAAGGCATTTTTACTATATTACACTCTGTGAAAAGAGTACTGGAACCCTGAACTTTCCTTCCAGCTCTGCAGAGAGCATGCTAGGTACTAGGCAACCTTGGACAGATCTCTTGTCCTCTCTGGGCCTCACTACTATCAATCATATAGGGTAGTTGTTGTAGAGATTAAATGATGTAATAATCATAAAGTGTCCAGCATGGTCCCCAGCATGTGAGGGCATCCAGGATGACCAAAAAAAAAGGTGGAAATGATGGTGACTATGTACAAAAGGCAGGAGACCTGGTGGCGCAGTAGTTAAGCACTCCACTGCTAACCGGAAGGTCAGCATTTCGAACCCACAGCCACTCCGTGGGTGAAAGATGTAGCAGTCTGCTTGGGTAAAGATTACAGCCTTGGAAACCCTATAGGGCAGTTCTACCCTATCCCATAGGGTTGCTATGAGTTGGAATTGGCTCCTCGGCAATGGGTTTATGTACAAAGGGCAGTGGCGAAGTAATGGAAGGAGGGGCCAATTTTGCCAGACAGAGGCCTGCTGGAGGAGGGGACACTGGACAGAGACTTGAAGAATGCAGAGGCATTCCCCTCCCTCCCCACCCCTGTGGAAGGGGCAAAGGAGCCTGGGCAATGTATTCTCATGTGACTAGAGGACTACAGTGTAGGATGTGGCAGAGGGGGTGGCCAGAACTAATGCTAAAGAGGTGTGTGAGAGGGCCAGATCACGTGGACCTTGAATACCAAGTCAAAGAGTTTGGCCTTTGTCACTGAAAGGTTGTAAGCAGACAAGTTGCAGATTTGCAATTTAGAAAGGTCACTCTTGTTGCTGTGTGGACAGCAGACAGGAAAGGGAAGCCTGGAGGTAAGGAGATCATCAACCAACAGGGGGACCAGTGATAAAGAAACGGGTAGGGCTGGTGGAAATGCCCCACCTGAAGGCCCTGGAGGCCATCTCCCAGTTAGGGAAGATCAAAGGGAATGATGACTATGGAAGTGCTCTTAAACTGCCACCAGCTACCAAGGCGTGAAGGGTTGTTTATCAAGCTTCTGTTAAGTGAGAGGCCCTTGGGAGGAGCCTGGGGCCTCCAGCAGGTATTCAGGCTAGACCCTGCCTGCAAAGAGCAATGGGAGTTTTTGTTGTTAGGTACTCACAGCGACAACGAAACACTGTCGGGTCCTGCACCACCCTCATGATTCTTGTTATGCCTGAGCCCATTGTTGCAGACACTGTGTCAGTCCATCTCATTGAGGGTCTTCCTCTTTTTCACTGACCCTCTACTTTATCAAGCATGATATCCTTCTCCAGGGACTGGACCCTCCTGATAAAATATCCTAAGTATGTGAGACAAGTCTCGTCATCCTTGCTTCTAAGGAGCATTCTGGTTGTCCTTCTTCCAAGACAGCTTTGTTCGTTCTTCTGGCAGCCCATGGTATATTCAGTATTCTTCGCCAACGCCGCAATTCAAAGGCATCAGTTCTTCTTTGTATTCCGTACTTGTTGTCCAGCTTTTCGCATGCACATGAGGTGACTGAAAACACCATGGCTTGGGTCAGGCGCACCTTAGTCCTTAGAGTGACATCTTAGCTTTTTAACACTTTAAAAAGGTCTTTTGCAGATTTGCCCAATGCAAATGTTAAGTACTTTTGTCTCCATTTCTCAGATGCCAAGCCTAAGCCCCACTACCCAACTCCATGAGTACGTGGGGGATGGGGGGAGGGATGATGAAAATCCCTAGACTAGGGGCAAGAGGGCGGTCCTTCAGAAGAAATGATACCTCTACACCATACCCTCCACCCCTCACCCCACAGGAGGAGAAGAGGCAGCAGCCAGAGGATCAGGTGGCCATTCCCCTCTCCCATCCCATCCCAAGCCTAGTAGGTTTTCCAAACCCTACCCCCAATCCCTGATGGGGGAAACATCTTCGTATAACGATAATGGCAATACCATTGCCGTTGAGTGTATTCTGACTCATAGCGACCCTATAGGACAGAGTAAAACTGCCCCATGGGGTTGACAAGGCTGTAAATTCTTTACCCAAGCAGACTGCCACATCTTTCACTGATGGAGCGGAGTGGCTGTAGGTTCAAACTGCTGACGTTTCGATTAGCAGCGGAAGGCTTAACCACCGGACTCCGGCCCTTTGTACATAGGCACCATCATGTCAGTTTGAGGACTGAGGTGGGCCTGACCCAAGCCATAATATTTTCAAGCACTTCACATGCATGCCAAAGCTGGGCAATGAATAAGGAAGACCGAAGAATTGATACCTTTGAATTACGGTGTTGGTGAAGAATACTGAATATACCATGGACTGCAAGAAAAATATACAAGTCTGTCTTGGAAGAAGTACAACCAGAGTGCTCCTTGGAAGCAAGGATGGCACGACTTCGTCTCATGTACTTTGGACATGTTATCAGGAAGAACCACCGCCTGGAGAAGGAAATCATGCTTGGTAAGGTAGAAGGTCAGTGACAAAGAGGAAGGCCCTCAATGAGATGGACTGACACAGTGGCTGCAACAATGGGCTCAGGCATAGCAACTATTGTGAGAATGATGCAGGACTGGGCAGCGTTTCGAGTGTTTCATTCTGTCGTACATAGGGTCACCACGAGTCACAATCGATTAGACGGCACCTAGCAACAACAACCTTTACAGAAGCAGACTGCCGCATCTTTCTGGAACCGCCTGCCTTTCAGTTAGCAGCCCAATGCTTAACCACTGAACCACCAGGCCTCCTTAATCATGGCAATAACAACCACAAAATGAAGGCTTCCTGTGAGTGAGGCTAATGCTTTACCTTAGGTTACCTTGTTTACTCCTCAAGACAGCCTGTTTTACAGTTGTAGAAACTGAGTCTCAGAGAGGTTAGGTAACTTGCCTACAGTTACTCAGAGCTGGTAAGTGGCAGGGTTGGAACCAGTCCAAGCTTGGGACCTCACAGTGTGCTGATTTCAGGTCTCTCTCCTCTCCAGGCAGGGAGGAGGGGGAGTGGAAGGGCTCTGAATCCTCCCTGAGCCCCCAGGCCTGGCACACAGTGGATGCAAAGTTGAATCAGCAGCTGCCCATTTATTAAGCCCTGACTGTGACAGGGTGCTGGATACAAAAGAGCCTATGGTACAGTTTCAAAGACTGCTTGATGAGGAGTCAGAGGTGGACGATACCCGAAGGGCCTCTCAGTTTGGGAAGCTGGGATTCTAAGGGGGGAGAGGGGTTTGGCAGGCAGGATGGGCAGAGAGAAGACAGGGGAGCTCTTCCTGCTCCCACAGTGATGAGACTAGACTCCCATCCTTGGCCCACACCTGCAGGTTCCGAAGGTCTCAGCCCCAAGACCACACAATGACTTTGAGTGGCAGGAGGAGAACTTGCAAGACTACTTTGTTCTCTGGGCAACATATTTGATTTTGTTGCCCGGAGACCTGGGGCAGTGGCCTGCTCTCTCACCACCTCCCTGGGGAAGGAGTCAGGCAGACAGATACACACAAGCCCAAGCAACTTTTTTTTATTTAAAAAAATAAAAAAAAGGAACGAAGAAGTAAAAAGACTGGGTGTACAAGTCTGGGCCACTGCAGGGGGTGGGGGGAGCAATGCCCAATATCTGCACCCACAGGGGTCGAGAAGCTACTGGGAGGTTCAAGGTCCAAGACCAAAGCCTCCCTCTCCCCTCTCACCAGATGCTCCTCTAATGCCTGAGAACCCCTCCCTCACTCTCCAAGGTGGGGTGGGCAGCATCTGGGTGTGCAGGCTGGAGGACTCACACACACAGCTCTCTTCTAGGGAAGGCTCCACCAGGCAATTTTCTTCCCACCCCATCCCCATTTTAAAAAGTTCTTTGCGTGCTTTCATGTCCTTTTTACCTTAAAGAGAGGTAAGAGAGAGGATGGGCTGCAGTGGGAGGAATAGACTTAAAACTGCTGCCTAGTCAAACACGCACACACAGCTTCCCTTCTTAGAAATCCAACCAGAAGTCAATGGTTTCCTCCAGTTCTCTCTCTTCTCCCCACCCTACTTTTCTGCCTAAATCTGGCTCTCTTCTCTCTGTGGGTTCGTCTTTCTGTGCTTCAGATTTCTGCTCTCTCTCTTTCATACGTTTAAAAAAATGAGGAGGGAGGGTGAGCTCGGGAAGAGGGGAGCCACACTTACTACACCCCCTATGTCTTTCTTAGCAACAAGTCTCTCTCTCTCTCTCTCTCTCTCACACACACACACACACACACACACACACACACACACCCCAGCGACCGGCAGATGTTCCCCGACCGTGCGGCCATCTGCTGAGGCTGCTCTGGCACGCCAGGGGGACGGCAGGGATCCGGGCTGCAGGAAGCTGGGAGCTAGGCCGACTGGAGCGGTTGGAGCTGCGCACTTTCGAGACGCTCCCTACGATGGAACCCGGGCTCCGCAGGCGGGCGGGGAGCAGGGCGGGGCGGGGAGCGCCAAGAAAGGCCGGCACATTGGCGACACTCCCTGAGCCGCCCAGCCGCCCGCTGGTGCCGCCACTGGGAGCGGGGCGGGAGTGGGGTGGGCCTGGGGCGCCGAGTGGCGAGCGGGGGCCAGGGGGCGGGCCGCGCGGCGGTGAGAAAAGCGCCGGCCTGAGGGCCAGCCGCCGGGCCGCCTGGGTGAGCGTGCCGAGGCGGCTGCGGCGCAGGCTTCCAGGTGGGTTCAGGGTTCCCGGGCTGGACAGGAGTCGGCGCTGCGAGCGAAGGTCCGGGGCCCCCGACCCCAACCTCGCTGCCCCTTCTGAGGGCGTGAGGTGCTGGGTGCAAGGGGCTGGGCGGGACAAGGGTCCTGCCGGGGCCCCTTAACTTTTCCTGGACCCAGGGCAGCAGCAGCAGCCACTGGACTCCCGAGGCTCGGCCGTAGTGGGGTACCAGGACTCTAGAGAAAAGGCTTCCAAGAGACAAAGGCTCTGCCCCGGGGGTCTTTGTGTATCTGCTTACATTTGCATCTCGTGTTTGTGGGTCTGTGAATTTTGGTCCGGGGACGTGCATCTCTGTGTCTGGCGGGACGCTCATCTGCCTGTGCCTTTGTGTATCAGTGGACGCGGCTCAGCGGGTCTGTTTCGCCCCTGTGCCCAGGTTTTGTGGGTCCACCTTTGGTTGGGAGCGTTGGTGGGCTCATCGTTTTGTGTCCGCATACGTGGTCTGGGTCTGTCGACGTGTCTGGGTTGGGTGTCCGTGGAGTGTGTGCGTGCCGAGAGTCAGACACCGCCCCAACTCCTCGCGCCCCTGCTGTCCACCCGGGCCTCCGACTTGGCTGCAAACTTTTCTCCCGGTTCCTCGGGCAACAGCCCAGTCCTCCTCCTGGCGGCAGCCTGGGCGGGGGGCGCTGGCAGCCCTCCCCTCTTTCACCTTCTGCGGTCCTTAGGACCGCGAGGGGATAGGGTAGGATGGAGGGGGGGAGTAGGCAACTCCTGGGGGCTGGCGGGGGGCCAGGGCTAGGCGGAGCGCGCTGGACACCCCCACCGAACCCGGCTGGGAGGAGAGAGGGAAGCGGGAGGAGACGAGAGGAGAGCGCTGCCCGCCCCGCTTTTCTTGGAGAGAGAGAGAGTGTGTGTGTGTGTGTGTGTGTGTGTGTGTGTGTGTGTGACCGAGAGAGATGTGTCTGCGTGGTCAAGAGGCCGGCCCCAGCCTCCCGCTCCGCTAGCTTGGAGATCTGCTCGCATTTGCATCCCACCCCTGAGGTGGGGGGAACCAATCCTCCCACCCCGAAGGTGAGAGAGAGGGCTACGACTGGCTCCCCTGGTGCTGCTGAGCGCATCCGGATCCGGGCCTGCTGGTGGCACTGGCTCCCAGAACCCGGAGACGTGCTGCAGGGAGTAGGAACCGTGCACACATTGGTTTTGAATGGAACGGCCACTGGCCCGCTGCACTGCTCTGGGCGAGTTGTGCAACCCCTGAGTCGCGGTCACCCTGCTTTGGACGGGGTTGAGACGTCCTCCCTCGCGGCTCTGAGCTTGCGGTCGGGATACCAGAGCAGCCAGAACCGAGCTGAGACCAGTGCCCGCCCACACTTGGCCCGGGTCAGGAGGTGACTCAGGAACTCTCCGATTCTTTTTCTTCTTCGGATCCTTCTTCCCCGCTGGCGCGGCTCTTCGGATAAGCCCAGACTTGCAGAGCCCAGAAATGGCCCGAGGGGGAGGGCTCGGAGAGACCGGCGCCTGCTGGGCTTTTAATCAGGTTGAAAAGCTAATCCTAATAACCTCCCCTCACCCAAGTCTTTAACCTACAACTTTGCCAGACAATGAAGATTTGAGGGAGGGGCACTGGCCACTCACCTGCGAGGGAGGCAACCATGGGCACTTTCCTTTCCCTCTCTGGACCTCAGTTTCCCCATCAGGATAGGGGGAATGTTGACAGCCTCTCTTGTCCCTTCCCCTCTGGCTGGCTGCTTGAGATTCCCGACCCTGGAAATCCTGATGTTTAACACATACCCCCATTCTGACTTGGCCAATTCCCTGGCACTAATTTGCCCTTCTGAAGAGGTGGAGGACTGGCTTCTAAGTTCAGAAGGCTGCAGTGAGGTGGGCCTGGAGCCCCTGGGCCCCGGGGCTGGGAGAGAGGAAGGGAAGGCAGCCTGTCTTTCCCCAGCCACTGGGTTGGAAGGCAAAAGCTGAGGAGTGGATCAAAAGTGAGACAAAGGGAGATTGGCAGGGTTTTTGTCCTTATCTTTTAAGTGATGGATTAGGAGTGAGTAGAATCTGGATCAATCTTCTTAATTGTAACTTTTGGATGTCTTAATAGTTCACTCATCCTTTCTCAGGCTGGGCACTGAGGATGCATTGGTAAAGACAGGGCTCAGCCTACCATGGAAGCCCCCTGGCCAAAGCAATTCTAGGAGAGGTGCCATAGGAACAAGCTGAGGGAGGGTGCCTGACTGAGGAAGTTACTATTGCTCAGGGTTTTGAAGTCCATGAATACGCAGGGGAGTCAGGAAGGGTCTTCCACAGTGGGAACAGCACATACAGGGCTCCTTGTATTTTGAAAACAGCACAGAGGTGGTCAGTATTGTGGACTGTCAGATGCAGGATCTTGGGGGTAGGGACGTGGAATTGAACCCGAGGTTAGTAGGGAAGGCAGGGCCAACTCACGAGGGCCTTGAATGCCAGGCCTAAGAGTTGGGCTTTGAACCTGTAGACAGTGGGGAGCCTCTGGAAAGTTTACATAGGCCCAACAGGGTAGGATTGGTAATTCTAAGAAACCTTCCTGTAGCTTGGGCATGGTGCTGGAAGCTTCAAGACCAATCTAGAGAGCTGGACCTGGATTATGCTCCCACTCCATTGCTTCCTAGCTCTGTGGCTTTAGGCAAGTAACTTAACCTTTCTGATTCTCAGTTTCCTCATCCTTGTGAGGCAGTAATTCCTACCTCACAGATCTGTTGTGAATGTTAAATAGGATAATGAATTACGTGTACTAATAAAATGAAAAGTGCTTTAAATATGTATTAATATATATTACTGATAATTGAAGGCAGAGACAGCATCCACTGTGGTCCTAAACCTGATTTCACCTCATGGTGAAGCCTTAATATCTTGCAAGGCCTGGGCCAATTGTTATCCTCCTCAAGCAGAAGGAAGCCTCTGGCCACATTTCACTCATCCGGATTATTCCAAACTTCACACGGCCAGGCCCCCGTGCAGGAGAGGAGCTAAACACAGACTGTTTTGGAGATGGCCACAGACCTTGAAGTGGGTTGGTACCATGGATGGGACAGCTCAGGGACCATGGGGTCCAAGGGGAAGGGTGTCCCTTTGCTGGATGAGGCTCAGGTTAGACTGGAAAGATATCAGAGGAGGTGCCTTTTGAATCAAACAAGCGAGAGCTTGCATGGTAGACAAAGAAAGGAAGGGCATCGTTGTCTTCTGTTAGAGGGAACAGCCTTTTGCAAACGCATGGGGCTAGGAGAGTGATAGGTCTGTGGACTAGAAAGCTCTCTTTGTGGCAAGGGTGCAGTAGTGGGGCCAATTCTTCTGTTGGAACGTGCACTCTGGTGCCCTGCATGACTGGCAGTTGGAGGCAGGGAGCCAGGAGTGAGACTGTTGCAGCCGGCCAGCCCAGGAGGCCCCCTGAACCTGAGCTGGGCAGGGTGAGGTGACTCTGGGGTGAGGGAGAGGGAAGACAGTGACCTTTCTGCCTAGGAGTAGCTGGTGGATTTTATACCAAGTCCCCAGTTTATCACAGACAACACAATTGCATCAGCCTGTTTAGGCCCCTACAGACCTTTCCAACTTCCCCGTCAAGCCTTCCAGTTCCCTGGTAGAGCCTGGTCAGCAACTTGTAGCCCCAGCAAGTCCCTGGATGCACTGAGAGAGAATCCAAGGCCTCAGGGGATGAATTTTGGATTCTTCTCCATCCTCTGCCCTTGCCTTGCCTTCTGGCACAGCTCCTTTTTCTCTCCTGGCCCCTGAAATTGCCCCTTAGGGTCCAGGAACCAACATTGAGCACCAATGTGTGCCAGGCACTGGGCTGAGTCTTCCCTTTACCTCATGTAATCATCATAGTGACCCACTGGAAGCTATACCAGGATTATCACCATGTTACAAGGTGAGGGTACACCCAAGTCTCATAGCAGGTAAGTAGAGGCACTGGGGTTGGAGCCCAGTCTTCCTGGCTTCAAAACCCATTTCCACTACCCCACACTACCTCTCCACATGTCCACGCATGCTACTTTAGACCAAAGGGAATTTTAAAATCTTCAAGAAGATACATTGGAAGGAGAAAATAGTGTTAGGAGCCTTGCCCTTTTCCCTGCAAACTATCCTCCTTGGAGGGAGGTTGCTGGGCTTCCAGGCCCCACCTGCACCAGGGGTGATGTCATGGAGGAGGGCAAGCACTGGGAGTCAGAACACCTGGGTCCTGTGTCCAGTCTCTGTTCTCACTTGCTGTGTGACTCTGGACAAATCACTGTCCTTCTATGGGCCTCTTTATGCAGCTTTAAAATAGTTATGATGCCCTCTAACCTGCTGACCTTGCAGGGTAGGTAAGGGATAATGGTTGAGGAAGCACTGGAAATGTTGCCAGGTATCCTTTGGTGAGGTGGTAGCATTCTAAATGCCTGGTGTGTCTTCATATGATACCCTCTCTGGGCCAGGCCAGTGCTCTGCATCAAGGACATAAAGATGAATCTGACCCCATCCCTGCCCAGGCAAGGATAGACAGACGAACGTGTAGTTTTATAGTCCAGCATGCTTAGCACTAGGGTGTCATCCAAGCGTGCCCATTTGTAAGTTGAGGCAGAGTGGTATAAGGAGCACTGGATGTGGAGCTAATGCATCTGGATTCTAGTCCTAGTTCCTCTACTACCCATCTGAATGCCCTCAGTTTCCTTGTCTAAAAAATAGGGACAGTCTCCCCGGTCAAGGATTGTGGCAAGGCAGAAACGAGATGCTGGAGTGGAAGTGTGTGGTGAACTGACATGTTTGTACAGATGTGTGGCATTAGCAATACTGTTGGGGAGAGCTAGCCTCGAGGCTCTGGGAGTTTGGCCCTAAATTCTTTCTGCCTTGTGTTTCCAGGGCTGACTAAGTGGTTGAAACGCAGGACGTTTATGAAATTTCCACCTAGGGATTTTGTTGGCGTCAGCTTAAGTGAGATCATGATGAAGGGGAGCAGTGGGGGGAGGCAGCACAGCATTGAAGAGGCGAAAGTTCAGCTCAG